CAGACTCTCTAGTTATAAAGTATAACTCGTACTAATAGGTTCATACAGGATTCTATATTTTATAAAGGTTCGCATTGACGATTTACTCGTTAATTTTGTTAATTTTCAGTAGTTGTCTTGAACTATGAAAACATTAAAATAAGTGACCACGCTAATAACAATAGTACTACAAATATGTATACGATTTTTGTACTTTTTAAGCACTAGTATAATATCCATCATTAAAGTCCATAAAGCTGAAGAGTTCAATGTAGTTGTTTAATCTAAAATCAATGAACGAATCATCTACACAGAGTATTTTCTTCGGAGAATCACTGATGATAAAAAAAAAAAAAAGCTACTTAAAACAAAATAGTTAGTGGTATTTATTGACTGTAAAAGGATTTACAATAGATGGTAAAAAATATTTCATTATTAAAAACGTAGTAATTGTTCGCGAAATACCTATAATATTGGTATGCGTGTACAGAATGCAGTGTAGATCTTTAAAAATTTCCAATTTGGACCGTGAAGATCACTTAGTTTTGTACTACGATTACAACTAATTAGTAGTTTTAATCATGCAGATGAAGTAAACTTAACAAGTTATACATCTTAGCTCGAAATTAAATGCAATGTATATTTTTAATTAAAATATTTAATAATAATATTAATTTTATACTGAAAACCAAGATGCTATACTGTTCGATGCTTTCAATTAAATCCTTATCGAATTGATGATTTTATCATAGCGAGAAACCATTGTTCCTTGTTATAAAATTACTTTGCAACAATAGAAATACAAGTCATAGAATTTATTATATTCTAAGTGATTTACACAATAGTTGTTAGTATTGCCCCGATCATATTATGTCATTTAAATGTAAACAAGGTTATAATAACGTTGCTATACGGACGAAAATCTATGTTGAAAAAAAAAGTTAACTAGTTTTCCATAACAATCTTTTTACATTTGAACCATTACCAAAACTACTTATTGGAATCAAATAAAAATACAAAAAAATATAATTTACAGTAGCAATGAAAACGAACATGGTTTTTTCTTTTAATTACTGCTCTTATTATTCTTCAAATCTTCCATGAAGTTCGATTATGTACTATTAATTCGATTACATTTAAAAAGAATATTTCTTAATATAGGGTTATTCAAAATGATTCATCTGATTTCAAATGCTTGGATAATTTTATTTTTTATTTTAAGAAAAATATGTTATACATTAAATAAAAGAGAAATATGTTAAGTTTAACTATAAATATGTTACCTATAAATATTCTATATAAGTTCCTCTGATCACACGAACAACATCTAGCCGATAATCAATCTCATTCCATATTTTTTGTAACATATCTTTTGTAATTGATTCCAATAGATACACGGATACACGTAGGATGGTATGTGATTTTTCCTTTGCCCAAACACCCTGTTTCTTTAAACTGCTAATACCATTGACATATGTTCTGAGAAGTCGATACATTGATCCCGTAACGACGGCGAAAATCATGTTGCACGGTTCTTACCAATTCACATTTTGAAAATCGCAACACACAAAACGCTTTCTGCTGTTCGGTTAACATACGATTATTTGCATAAAATAATTTATTGCTTAAAATCAATAATTGTAAAACAAACAATTAATGACATTCTAAAACTTGGGTATACCATCTTTCAATTGGTATATAATTTAATAAGATAAAATGTATAATTACCATTTTATAACTATTTAAAATCGGATGAATCATTTTGAATAACCGTGTATTATATTAATCAAACAAACTTATTATACAATATCAAACAATTTCAGGGAATCCACTATTTCCAGACTTCTGCCCTAACTTTAAACACAACTTTATCTATTTTACGCCTTATTGAATGTAAATTTAAAAAATATTGTATTTATTTCATAACTCTATCAAGTACCTATCGTAATAAATGATTGCGGTATAATACAATATATATATATATATATATATATATATATATATATATCGTATTTTCATAAAGAATGAAAATAATTGATGCATTACAGAATAATAAAATTTAAATTTAAGACATCTTCGACAAACTTGAGTAATCTGTTAATTCGTAACGCAATGAATATCTATTGTTTTTGCGTGTTTTCTATTAAAAAAAAATAATAACGGTGATAAAATATTGTTTCCAGGGTATATACATGCAGATATACGTTTTCATTCGGCAAATTATCTGATACAATAAAATTGATTTACCAAAAACCAGTTAGATTATCCGTTATATTTTGTAATATTTAGTAGTCTCAATTCATTGCCGATTTTGTAGAATAAGATATTTGTGTTTTTGATGCCGTCGTTGATTAATTTACTATGTTAAAAATAACAAACTACATAAGGCTTAAAAATATTCTTTTAACATAAAACTGTTTTATTTTAATATTTATTAGAGATGTAATTTTAATAATTTGTATATTTTCTTGAATAGGTAGCTGTATTATATTTGAAGTAAGTTAAAAATACGCACTTACATTTTGGTTGAATTAAAAACAATTTACAAACTTAATTTTGTATTTTTTGAAATTATTTGGTTTTAAAGATGTTATATTGTTAATACAAGGCGATTATACTATCTGTACATCATATTTTACCTCAAGTGATATTTTGTAAAACATCAAACTTCAAAGCCTTACATTTTTTTTTAACCTGAACTATTTGAACTTAAAACATATAGATTGAAAACTAGTGTCATTATCACCTATCCTATATGTAACTCTATCATCCAATAAACAGTTACTTTAGATAAGCAAAACAGCATGAAATATCGTATTGTTAAAATGGAAAAAAAAACATGATAAGATAATTTCAAATTATGAACTGTTTCATTATTATTGCACTCTGTAATTTAGATTTAAAATATTTTTAGTTAATATTTAAAAGCGAAATAAACCAAAATTAGTTTTTTGAGTAACAAAAAAAACCAAATAATTATATTCTTATTTATATATATATATCTGTATACCAATAATAATAACCATCTCGTATAGAACGGAGACTAACCAGAAAATGTGTCTAATGTGTTAGTTTCAATTTACGATGGTGATTATCATCAAATGGAATATTATTTTAACTTTTGAAAGTCTGAGGTTCTAATGTACACAATGAAAACAAAAAAAAATCAATATGAGCGGGGTTGCATTAGCGAAACTTTGGACTAACGAAATAAATCAAGTGAACTCGTGAGCACATAATAGCAGTTAACTTTATCGATTTCGTTCTAACTGTACATTTGTCATTCAATGTTATAATTACATATTATTTATATCGACATCCGAAATATATTTTCGACAGCAGGTAGGATACCTATCACCTCTACCATCGTTTGATATTTTCTTCCCGGGTCACATCACCGAGCAGCACTTGTAGCAAATCGATTGTAATGTACTACATATTACTGTATGCATTAGGTAGTAAAAGTACATATTGCTATATTGCTTTTTACACGTTTTTTTTTCATAAATCAATATAATATACACTATGTATAAACCTTGAACTATGTAAAAGTAGAAACTTTATGTAAAAACCAACCATTAACTGAAAAATGAAACAAAATAATAACAATATGAGGGAAAGCATCATAAATTAACACACGCATAAGTAATTAAAAAACAACGCTATTAAGTACATTGATCAGCAAGGACATTTAAGACTTCTAAGAAAAGGCAATCAGTTGACGAAAGCAATTAACTCATCAAAAGAAACCGATGAGGGGGCAACTCAGCAGAATATATTTAAGGGTTCCGGATCAACTACTAATTCAGAAAATATCCAGTCATTCAGTGAAGTATCTCTACCTGTAATTGTCATCAACGTTATACTGTTTAAATTTTTCGTGTTGATTTTCTTAAAAGTGTCAATAAAATCACCGTAATATTATCACTAGTGTTCCATATTGTATTTAGAATATTTTGTCAACACTTTAAAATTGTTGCACTGTCAAATTAATTAATTTGATAATGATATTTTTGTAATATTATGTCATTATTATTTTGATAATACGATTTTCGGTACGTGGGCCAAACTTCATATTGCTCGGTGTAAATCGTTTTCACGCCAAAATTGCAGTCATGCTTCACTGCTGGTACAAACAGCGTCGTGGTCGTTGTGGTCGTCATCTGTTCGCTACACTTGAACATACGTGGAGACATAGGTAAACTAATTGGAATTATGGGTTGGAAAAACATGAATGTCAATAGCCCCTATGGAGAGAAAAAAATTGGTCGCTATGCTGGCACAATAAATTCGTAATATAAATATATTAAATTATGCTTATTGTTATGTCTGAAAATACACCATCGAGTATCGATTAATTTCCCGTCTACCTACCAAAGTAAGAGGAGAAAATTTTTCCCTACCCCTGGCTTATCTAGATTTTCAACTACACTCACGCAAACGTCATGTATAATAGTGATGTAACTATTCGTATAACAGTTTTGCTGCACCTATGAATCGAACCTTGACGAGCATCGGACGTATTATCTTGACGCAGTTCTTGCTAATTCCAGCCTATGATCTACGCATAATGCTAGTTTTACTAATAAAAGCACATTCATGTTTAGTTTATTCTACCTTGCAGTATAATATATCGACATTGGCTCGGCGCATATTGATAAAGTTTTAGAGATGGCAAAAAATAACGTTTTTTTTTTTTTTTTTTGTCATTGTTTCATATGTTAATTTTATTATTAGTTATAATAATAACTGTATTAAATATGTATATTTTTGTAAATGAGGAATAACACCACACGTTTTAATGTATTTCGTCTATAACTAGAATTAAATAATCAATAATCCCCTATAATCATATGTATTCAATGGTATTCAAATTTTTCAATGGGGGGAAGGTTACGATTTAGGTCTATACAATAGATAGGTATACACAAAACATATTATTTAAAATTTTATTTTACTTTATTAAAAGCATTTAAAGTCAAACAATATTTTAAATACATTAAAATTTACATCAACCGTAGTTTTCTAGTTTTGGTCGCTAATTTATTTAGGACATCATCAGGGTTTATCATTATTTCACTGTGTATATTCATCATTGCCAAACCATTCAACCTATTTTCACATATGTTGTTTTGTAAATATGTTTTCAGTCTTTTTAATGTTGAAAAAGATCGTTCACTGTTAGCAGTTGCAACTGGAAGAGTTGCTAAAATCTGTAAAAGTTTAAAAGTAGAAAAGAAAATTGATATGTTACATTTTTTTAGAGCGTCGAAAGCGTTTTTTAGTAAATCATTAGTTCTTGTAAATTGTTGTTACCAAATTTTAATTTCACTCACAGCTGTTAATACACTGCAATCTTAATCATCTTGATACATTTCAACTAGCTGCTAGATTTTTTTCTTCATATTGTATATGTATACTATTGGATGATAGTAAAACAACGTTAACATTTTCAATCATAGATCTAAGAGATGAAAATCGATCATTTAATTGATTTAAAAATGATCTATAAATGGAATGAATAAAGATATTTTGGGCAACAGATGCAATATCCAGGCAAATCAACTTGGATATTGCATTTGTTTTTTTTGCTTATTAATTGTACGAAGAATAGTGTAATGAACTCAACACATTTATTTATTTCTTGTTGATGAAATAAATTTAACAGATAGACATATATTTTTTACATATATTTATATTATGAATATAATAATAATAATAATCAAAATAAGAAAATAACAATTTAGAAGTAAATTCATATACACATATATAGTTATAAGGGTTTAGTTTGACTCACTGTTTTAGCAATTTAAATTGTGAGATGATGATATGAACTGCGGCAGCACGCACGATGGTGATGACGTAGGAATGACTATGGTGTGTACTGCGGTAAAATGTAAGGTGGCGATACGGTGGTCACTAAATACACTATGTATCTGATATGGAGTGGGGATATCGTAGAGGGATGGAATCTTGGGTGTACTTCGCTAATAAGCCCGACAGTACGGATTACTCCGTACCCTCAGCAATAGGTAGATACACACCAAGATTAACGTTTGAAGGTAGGGAGAAGTATACAGGTTTGTCAGCCCGACAGTACGGATTTCTCCGTACCCAGAACTACACCACTGAATGTATTGTGTTGGGAGAGAAATGTACGAGTCAAACTGGTATACATACTAAACATTAGTATATATATATATATATATATATATAAATATAATGCATAATGCTAATAAAGAATACAAGTCAATGTAACGATCAGAGACCAGAACCCGTGATACCTGTTTGAGCAAGGTCGTTATCTGCTGAATTTTTTGACGACCCGATTGAGCACGGTAAAAAAAAATATTGTGTACAACGTTGTCAGATTTTTACTAGTATGTATTGTAGATTACTAATAAGAAACTAATTAACTATTAATCGAAAAAAATTCGCTATCGATTGATGGGTACCTCGGAAGTTTAAAATAACTTTGATAGATGGGAAAGCAGAATTTTATCTTCAACGATTGCACTGTTATTGTATGTATTTACGCTGTAAATAATAGCCAGTCTGTTCTGTTGTCTCGTGTGCTCATGTTGTACTCCTAAATAACGTATATTTTGCAAATTGAAATGGAAAATAATGAAATAAAAATTATTTCATCCAAGAGAGGCAAAGAGTTAGCTAATGTCGGAGTTTTCAAGTATAAGTTTATTGGGATTAGAAAAAATGGTAAATAATTAAAATATTCTATGGTTCAAAACGACTACGTCTCACACATTTTCGTGCTCAATCATGTGGTTTTTGGGGTTTTTTTTTTGCTTCCTATTGTTTGATTGCAGCCGTACTCAATCGGGTTCCAGCCACCAAAACTGTAATCGAAAAGAACTGGTACTGGAACCGGTTTACCTTTAAAATTTAGGAACCGTAACTGAAACTGGCACCTATATTTCTAAAAATGAAAAACCGTAACCTTAATTATAAAAGGGTTAATTTAGGTCAGTTATTTAGATTAGTAAAACTATGGTAATAACAATTTTGTTTGTCCATTTGTTGGTTCAGAAAAATTAAATTCAAATCTTTTTATGTTTTTATTATTTTGTGTTGTAAACTGTAATAGCGTAATGCATTTAATTAGTAAATTTGTAATATTATTATTATTATTATTATTATTATTATATGTTTATTAATTTATTACAATTTACAATGAGTATATTATATATCTTATCTATTAAATATTAAATATAATTCATGTTTATAAAAAATTTGTAGCTACAACAGTAGCCAGTATTAATTTTGATTTTTAATTAAAATTAAATTTTAAATTAAAGATATTTATTTCATCAAATTATAATATTTCACAATATTACAAAATACTTTACAAATTCTTACTATGAGTTGGAATAAAATAACTTAACCTAACTCAAAGAAATATAATAGGCTTATATAATATATATATATATATATATATATATATATATATATATATATATATATATATAATATATTTATAATTATTTTTTTAACTATTCATAATACCTTCTACTTTTATGAAATTAAACAATTACATTTTAAACAAAAATAAATAAATAATTTCATATTTTTTTTTAATAAATCTCTAATAATCAAAATTAACCGATGTTATCCGATCCTAGAACCCTTACTCTTAAAAAACCGAAACCTAAAAATTAAACCTTAAAAAATTAATTGAACAACCAAAACCTAAACCGGAATCGAAAAAACCTATCGGTTCCAGTCCCTGGTAACGATGGTATTTACTAAAACGTGAATTCGTTTATTTTTCTCTTCCTATCAATATGCTCCCTCGAGTATGGGGCTTTATGTGACGTAAGTCATCGAATATACTGCGATTATGGTTAACCAAATATTCAGAGTAACTGCATGTAAAAAACTTAAATTAACCCTGGTAAATGTTTTAATTAATTAATTTTTTTTTTACGTATGGTAAGCATTTGATTGGCCAAACCATAGTCTTACTGATCTGTATTGTGTACAAATAAAAGGTGTGAAAGATGTATTTCAAAAATAAGGGGCTTCTGTATTTTTCTAAACTTTGTATATATTTTTTTGAAAACTATGTTATGCACCAATACATATAGATTGCCCTTGCGAAACTGCCGGGCAACTGTCTGTTAGTCGGTTGACGTTTTCTACAGAGTTTTTGGGGCTTTTTCCAACATTGACGGGTAAAGTAAGCGACTAAGAAATATGTACGGTATACGATGCTTTAGCCGACGTAAAATATGTCGATCGTATGCGGTCAACTGCAGTTACCGTATAGTAAGGCGTACCAGATAGTGTACAAGGAATGCTTGCGATGGCATTCCCTGAATGAATTGTTATGTTATAAAATCTATAAAAACATGAAATATTTTTTAACTTTTATTATAAAGCGTACAATATGTAATGAATCATTCCATTAAGTATGCATGTGAAATATAATTGTTAACTTGATACACATGAATAAAAGCAGCCATCCAATAGCGACATTTTATAAATTGATTAGGTTAAATTTGATATGTTTATTTTTCTTTATACTCATATTTGTAAATCGTTAATTTAAATTCGAATCTTTATAGAACTTTCTTTTCAATCTACCAGGAGGATTACCAAGAACCTACACCAAATATTAATGGATCTCAATGATTTGTTAGTCAGAAGCGGAATCGTGTGTACAAGATTTTGACATTTTTTTTGATTGTGTTTACTTTTAAATTTGTATGAAAGTTGTAATTAGAAACACAGAAAAGAAAATTCGTGGAAAAAACTGGAAAGATTTTTTTTTAATTGATTAGAAAAATAATTATTTAATGATTTTATCCAATGATGGACACGAGTTGCACGCGTGAAGTATCAATATTTTTCGAAACTGATGTTGTTCAAGTCAAAACTAAGGGCTTCTTTGAAACTGTTAAATGTAATTATAGTAGGGAGAGGGGTATATTAAAATGTTATTTTTTTTTTTTCAGAGTTTGCACGTTCTGAATAAGATCTCTGATACTGCTTTTGTGTATATTGTATCTAAATTCTGAATTATGATTACAACGATTGTGAACAATGCGCTCCACGTTAAAGCTTCTATACATATTCTTAATACTGTTCATAGCAACTAAATGCGTATTGTTATTTTCTTCGTCAAATATTTTATGTATACGATATGATTTTACTTAGTACATGTGATCGAACAAAATTGATATATGTTATTTTTTTTCGATTTACACAGATAAAACTACGCGTTGGTAATGATGTATACTTATTCGATTAATACTATAACAACTGTATAACGCAATCGATTTATCTTAGCATGGAATTACCGCAATGCCTTATAGACTATTATGACCTTGGAAGTAGCTCAACGATGTTCCAATATACTTTTTAGGAGAAACGAAAACCTATAATAATTGAATTTGAGTCAAATCCAAAACACTGATCGTCAAGGATTATAGGTATAATATTATTTTCTCAGACGTTGATTTATTCGTTTCTATTGTTTATACGTAGTTTAAAATTTAACAATATTTTTTTGATCTGTTATCTGATCACGTCAGGTATGGAAAAGAAAAATATGTAGTAATAACTAAAAAGCTTTGAAAAATATGAAAAACATGATCGTAATATATGTTGTTGTTCTCGAAGATTTTTCTCATCATGGAAATCCGTCACTTCGAAATGGTTGTCGAGCAATAGTAGATATAATGAATACATTATAAAAATTGATTCGAAAACCTGTTATAATTGGTTACCGACAAATATAGAAATCAAATCGAATCAATTGCAGTCAAAAGTTCTATTCACCCATTTCAAATCTTTCAGTCTTTCAATATTTTTATAGAAGTATTGTCTATAAAACCCTCTGCAACCCCGCGTAATTGAATTATATGCATATAACTATTTTAGTCAGTATGATCTTAAAACTAATAGAGACTCGTTTATTCGTCAACTGAGACAAAAGTACTTATATAAATTATTACTTATACTATTATGTTCTATAGTATTGTATTTCCGCGAAGTTAGTGTTCGTAATGTGTCTAATTATATATTATTTTTTCTGTTTTTTTATTTCACTGGATTGCAATATGTTTATTCATTACAAAATTCCGTTCTAATATTTTAATAAATGCTACATGTGGCACTCGTTCTTCCGAACTTGTAGAAAATTATAAATAAATAAACTGAAATTATTATATTATTATTAAATTATTATATTGTAAAATATTCGAAAATTCACCACGAGCAATTAATATCTGGTACTATTTGCGGTAATTAAATACAAACAAACACGCATTAGAATCATTTGTTCGTTAAACGTAATATTTGGAACTTACATACGTGTTTATTGAACCAAAACAATGCGATCACGATTGCAGTTTTTCAAGGTAAATTTTTACTTACGCATGCAGCTAATGTTTAAGTCAAGAACTAAAACCTATTGGGTTCTTTGATCCCGGTTACGGTTCAAGTTATTGAATTAATTTTTTAAGGGATCTGGTTTTTTTTACCTCCTGGCTTTACATTTCGCCAGTGTATTCAAACCACACTCGATCCTCCCGAATACTTCTCATCTAGACAAAGTGAACGAATTTATCTCTTCACCACTACCTATGGCCTTACCTGCCGAACACACGACTCCTAATGAGATCTCATCAATTATTAAAACACTTTAGACTAACAAATCACCAAGCCACGATCAAATCAGCAATAAAATTGTCAAAAATATTCCGGCTAAAACAATCATTCTACTCACCCATATTTACAATGCTACACTACGACTATCATACTTCCCTCAAACATGGAAGTCAGCAATCATTATTCCAATCCTTGAACCCAATAAGCTTCCAGACAAAGCAGACTCATACAGACCTATCAGTCTTTTACCAGTGTTTGGAAAAATTCTGGAAAAAATACTCCTTAAAAGACTATTCTTAATTTCTCACGAAAAAAATGCGTTATCTGAATTCCAATTTGG